GGCAGAAGAATGAAAGAGGGCATTTACATAAGAGTGATTGTTAAAACACCAAACAAAAGAATAATGTCAATAAGCTTCACATACAAGGAATCACTTGTTTGCCCTTCCCTTTGATGCAGCAAACAATGATTTTTTTCCAAAAGTAATTTGCAACATGAGATGCTATCCTTTCATTATACAATTATGCAAAGACAACAGGATCCAGCAGGCTACTGTTTTCACCTGTGCCTCTCAGTCTGGAGTGAAACCTTGCACCACACACACACACACACACACACACACACACACACACACACTGATGAGTGTATTATACGGCGTGGCACTGGCTGGTCTCCAGGGTGCAGAGATGTCTGAGGACATTATCAGTCACCACTGAACCCCAGAGAACAATCCTGCCACCAGCTTTTTTGTTACGAGTCCACATCCTGGAAGTTTCCTCCATAGAGACTCCAGAAACTCTACATACTCTAGATAACATGCCATGTTTTATAACATAAAACCCGCTGCTGTGCACATACTGGCACCTTTGTGGTCTATTGTTTGCATGTTGTGGACATTTTAATTTATTTTTATTTTTCACACCTGGGTTCCAACGGCTTCTTCTTTTTCTTTTTTTTACGTATTCCTGATTCCTGATAAATTAGCCTCTGATAAATGCACCACCTCTTTGAGAATCCTGCCCCATTAGGTGAGGTGATGTGCTGGATGAATAGGTCGTGCTCCTCATCTTGTTTGGTGAGAACAAAATGTGCCTGGTAATCAATGAAAATTTAATTGAGTGACAGAGAACTGGAGCCCTAACAGGCACATTATGCCATTCTTTGATGTATTTTCAAAGCCTGTTTGTGTCCCTACCTAATTAATCAGGATAATGATAACTATGGATACAGTGGTGTTTTAGAGGTAGGGGAAGGAAGCTGTCATCTTCAGAGACAAAAGTAGCAATCACAGAAACAAAAGGTGAAACATCAATTATATTGTTTGCATTGTTACCAATGAGCAGTGTCGGAAGATAACACACATCTAATTCAGAAAATGTAAGTGAGGGTTAACGTGACACTGAAAAAAGCTGCACGGCCATCTGCTAAAATGAATACGGGATAATTCAAAGTTGTGAAATTAATTATAGAGGACAAAAAAATGTGTTTGAAGACTTGAAATTGAATCTACAAATTACAAAATATTGGCAGTGATTTAGAATGCCAACAATATCACAAGGGGATATTTATCTCCTCTGTGAAATGATTTGTTTAGAAGCATTTAAATTAGGACTAGCCTGTTGCTAGAGGCTTTAGCTTAAATGATTGGCTGTAAATTATGATTTCCTAATGAGAGGCAGCAGCGAGGAGGGAATGAGAGTTTAGAGTATGGTGCACCTGTGTTCTGCTGACATTTATAAGCCTCCCCTGCTTGTTAGTTTTGCCTAATAAGTCTCTTAAAGGCTCTTATCGCCTTTCAATGTTATGCAATTTTCATATTTTCTTTCACATGATAATTACAGAAATTAGGTTATGAGAAAATCAGCCCCGGGTTGCGGTAAAGTCTTTGATATTCCTTTTATATATTACAACAATACTTACACAAATTGAGAAACTGAGCTAATTTTAGAGGGAATTACTGTTTCCTTAGGAAAAACCTGATAGCCTGTAATTTCCCAGATGTCTCCTCTGTGTTTTTCCCCGTCTATCCATGAAATATGTGTAAATAGTTGCAGCTATACGTGTTCAGTATAAATGCTTCAGCTTCAGACAGCCGGTGCAATAGTCTGCAGTTCTTCAGATGTCACTCAAACCTCTTTGGTCCATTGTTTTTTTCACCTTTCAGAGCGGTGAGGCTGCACTTTTCCTCTGCCAGTGGCAATGACTGTAATCCGTGTAAACAGAGCGAGTGGCCCTGGTAGCTTTATCCCCTGCGTGCCAGGACAAGCCGTGGAGACGTCCTGTCTCATGATAACTTTGTCACTGTTGTAGGGAGCGCGAGAGGAGAGGGGAGGAGAGGGGAGGAGAGGGGAGGATGAGCTTGTCATGCGGGCCTCTCCACTCTCTCACACAGCGGCGGGACTGCTGGCCTTGTCGCCTCCAGCTCCTGCGTCTGCTGTTGACGAGCGCCACTGTCACTCTGGTCGTCCCCATGTCTCAATAAGCTGCTCCCTGCTGCTGACAGCTCCTGACAGGCCTGCAGCTAAGCCTCTGTGCTCACCTGAACACACTGCCCCACTCTTTCTGTAATGAATGGTTAAGTGTGTTTACCTTATTAGGTTTCAGGCATGGACATAAAATATACTTCTTAAAGTGAGGCTAGAGTAACCTTTTAATAAGAAATAACGCAATCTTCCACGTAGAATTCAAAAGTTCAATTCAAAGGGGATGAAGCTCACCTTTGCTCAAGTTAATACACTTAATACAGTTCATACAGGGGTTTGTCCCTACAACCTCACTTAGTCTGGTATTACCAGTAGCTTATGTTAGCAAGGGTTAACTAATGTTAGCAAAACTTTTATGTAACTCTGTGTTATGTTTTAGCCTTCATCAGGTAAACTTCATGCCAACAAACCAGAAATATCATAAATAAAGTAAGTGCATATCATCAACAATGTGCAGTTTCTTTTTGGTTCTTTCACAGACAGACTTCGATCCACTGCACCTTTCTCATTCAAAAAGTAAAGGTTTTTTTAATGTAATTTGTATTAAACGGGAGGAGGACTTTAACCCTACTCAAATATGCCATGGCCTTAACCAAAATGTCTCCTGACCTATGCTAAGCTTAGCAACACATTTGAAGTTTCTTTGAAATCAGAACAAATGGTTGAAAAAGACAGCCAAAAGTAATGGATAAAGCGTTCAAATAAGTATTTAAAAGTAATGTATAAACCGTTAAAGAAACAGAAATATTTGAGTAATTAAAGTTATACTATACATGGTGAATAGTTAGCTGATGTTAAGTGGTAGAAACAGAAGAAATGGACAAGCGGCTGAAACTGTAAACTAAAGTAATGGATAAATGGTTAGCTAAAGATTAGAGAAAAATGGTTCAAGTACATTTAGCTAGCGTTCAACTCCATTAAACAATTCAAAGGTAAATAATGGTTGAATAATGGTTGAAACTGATAGAAGTAATCGACATGGTTACAATAGCTAAAAGTATTGAGTAAACAATCAAAATAACTATCTTAACACAGATAATATGGATAAACAGTTCAACTCCATTAAACAATTTTCAATGAGGAAGCAGGAGTAAAAAACAGATATTAATGTGGAATTTATACACATAATTATTCCAAGCATACTTTTTCTATATGTTGTAATACATGTATGGACGGGATCCTTAAGAAATGGACAAATGGATGAAATGTCCGGTTTAGTAGTAGTAGTATGAAAGCAAACTCCTGACAGACCAATCTGACACATTAATTAACATTAGTACAATAATAAAAAAAATAGTTGAAACAATTGAACTAACTTGATAACATCTAATATCATCCTCTTAAAAATCAGTTCAAATGAACAAATTAGGAACATAATGGTGTGTTGATGAAGGGTGCTTGAGTTCATTTAACAACAAAATTATGTTGAGAGGCACATCTACAGATACCCAGATCATCTTTAAGGTCTTAAACTGGCCAGAGAATCATTCTCTTTGGTAAAATGAACTGCAATAAATCAACTACTAATCAGAACAGAGTACTCGTCAGTCATCTCTCATAAGAAAATGGGATAATTTCATTGTGGGTATAAGACTTTAAAAAAAAAGCCAATGCCACCAAGAAGCACAGTGTCTCTTTGCTTGCTGAATGGGTCAGGTTTTTCCTTCCACAATGAGATACATCAGTTGTAATGGCTCTCATTTTGGCGGCACAACTGGGAAAGCTTTAAACAGATTTGGCACCAGACAGACAGATGGCTCAACCACACGGATCAGCGTGACAATAAAACCAGAGCCCAAAGAATTAAATCAACCCCAGGAGTAATTACATTCAAACTATTGGTCAACCTTTTCCATTTGCTGATCCCAGTGTTATCAGGGACATCGCCTCTCAGCTCCTGTGTGCAACAGGTCCACGTGTGGAGAATATATTTCAGGCGTTAATGATGTTGCATGCAAGGGCACCATATCCTGTGGGACAAAAGGGGTGAGAAGATGACGTAATCAGACAAAAGGTTGACACTTAACCTGAAATGTGCTGGAAAGAAGCTCAAATCCATTCTGAAATCCATGAACTCTGCAGTGAGTGCACACAGAATCATTCAGTTTCAGTATGAGTCATGCAATATCTGAAATTGGCTTGTGGTGAGAACTCAGCAGTGTTCTCCATGCAGCCCGTGTCACCGACTATACCGTATGTCTGTATAGCAAATGCTTTATTGGCCATTGTAATAAAAAGGTCCTCATTTAAATGACATGTTCTGTGCCATGGAGCTGCTTAATTAACTGAGCTTTGTGAGGATCTTTTGGGCTGTGACACTGTTCAGACGACTCAGTGGAGCACACACACACAAACCGCACTGCTGACTTTTTCTGTTGGGACAGAGGAGTTTTATAATCTGAGGGTTCACAGAACTGCAGGACAAAGAATGATTTTATTACATAAATAGGGGCCGACATTTGCAACTACCTTATGCTGTCCTGTTTATTTGATCTGGAAAAATGTAGAGGACTAATTAGGTGCAAGTGTACTCATTAGCTGGAGCCACTCCACAGAGACCAATTGTCAATGAATTATTCAAGCTCTCTCTCCCATACACGACATCAATACTCGGCCATTCCCACCGCACTGCTGTGCATTCTCATCTTCAATTGCATTCTGCCACTGTGAAATGAAGAGTCTTTGAATTTATCAGTAGTGCTGCTCAAAGAATACAAATCATTTGTATCTGTCTACTCCAGGTTTGACTATCTTTCCCAGCCTCCAGCCTTTCTTTTCTCCGACCCCTGTCCTCTGCTCTGTAGATTTAATTAGTTCTGCCCCAGTAACCCTGCTCCTTTCTCCTTCTTCCCCTCAGGATATGGCCATGCAGCCCCCAGCACAGATGGAGGGAAGGTGTTCTGCATGCTCTACGCCCTCCTGGGCATCCCTCTCACCTTGGTGATGTTCCAGAGCGTGGGTGAGCGGATCAACACCTTTGTCAGGTACCTGCTCCACCGCCTGAAGAAGTGCCTTGGCATGAGGCGCACTGAGGTCTCCATGGCGAATATGGTGAGCATCGGCTTCATCTCTTGCATGAGCACGCTGTGCGTCGGGGCACTGGCCTTCTCCCACTTTGAGAGATGGAGCTTCTTTCATGCTTACTACTACTGCTTCATTACGCTCACCACCATCGGCTTCGGGGACTATGTAGCGCTGCAGAATGATCACGCTCTGCAGACCAAGCCGGAGTACGTGGCCTTCAGCTTCATCTACATCCTGACGGGCCTGGCTGTGATCGGAGCCTTCCTCAACTTAGCAGTGCTGCGCTTCATGACCATGAACGCCGAGGACGAGAAGCGGGATGCTGAGCAGAGGGCTCTCCTCGCTCATAACGGTCAGGCGGGTGGACACATCCACTGTTCAGTAGACCCGGCCTCCACCTCCTCCACGCCGTCTGGGTGCGGCGCAGTTGGAGGCAGCGGGGGAGGGGCAGCGAGCAGGGGTCTACGTAACGTTTACGCTGAGGTGCTCCACTTTCAATCCATGTGTTCCTGCCTTTGGTACAAGAGTAGAGAGAAGCTGCAATACTCCATACCCATGATCATCCCACGTGACCTCTCCACCTCGGACACCTACATGGAGCAGGGAGAGGCTTTTTCCAACCCCCTGCACTCTAACGGCTGCGTGTGCAGCCTGCAGCGCCACTCGGGCATCAGCTCAGTTTCCACTGGTCTGCACAGCATCAACACCTACAGAAGACTCAATAAACGCAGAAGCTCCATCTAAACCAGGAGGAGGTCATGACTCAAGGTCAAGTCTCCATTGTGTGTACCATGTGGTGAGGGAGGGTCCCTCTACTGTGGTACTAGATTAGCTGTGGACATCAGGGGAACACGACTCCAGTCCTAAAGAGACTCCTGATGTTTGCTTCTTTCTGGCACTGAAGAGCCTGGTGCTGCAGCCTCCAGACTCCAGCTGTGTATTTAGCTCCCATTAGCTAAGCACAAACCATTTAGGACTAACATCGTTACTGATGTCACTGCGAAATAACGCTAATGGTTGTTTAAGAAGCATTTGTTACACAAACTCTGAAACTGTTGCTGTTAGAAGACAGGTGGGGGGAAAAAAACACATGTGCAGCTCTCTCTGCACCTCTGAATTCCAATGTTAGATATCGTAATGTTGAATTCAGTATTTTCTTTGTTCATAAGACAGAATTTCATGTTCTAATATGAAAAAGGGACAAAAGTACACTGTGAGATATGTTTTTAAGAGGGTGTGTTAATTGTATATAATGCCTCCGCTAAGAAATATTTTATGGAATAATTTCAAATCCACTTTTTTCCAAAAAAAGACTTTCCAAAAGGAATCTTTGGTTGTAAGTATTACACTCAGTTCAGTGAAATTAAAATGTGTATATATTTGGACACTTCACTAGTAGGAGTCATTGAGGGAAAGCCTATTTTTTCAGTGGAAATTTACAAAACAGTTTTCAGTGTCTTCTCCTGTGTGTCTGTAACTAAAGTTCAGGTTCAAGCCAAACTTTCTGATCTGTTTAATCATATTAACGGCATTTGAATGATTGATTGTTTCGATCGAGAATGATTGAGTAGGTTTGGCTTTAATGTCTTGCTGAAGGACGGGACACTTGTTACTGTTGGATCAAACTTGTGACAGCGTCTCTAACCACTAGGCCTCCCTGCCGACCCTCTCAGACCTCACTGTTTTGTATAAATCACTATGAATTTATTTTTCATAGTTTCTTCCTGTACATCAAACTATTTTATTTACTTGTTGCTCATCATTTGTTTTCATATAGCACAACTATATTCTGATAGTTTAATTAAGAGCATGCAAGCTCACTTTGTGCATAGTAGAGAGTCATATCTTATTCACTGCTGCACCTTAGAATACTGTTGTATATGCTTTAGGACACTGGAATTCAGTGCACTACTTTTATTTTATTTTTTATTTAATGGAATCACATAATGTTTTATTATGTAAATTATACGCCCTAATTAATTCTTTCTTGTGTTATCAGTCTGAGTTTGACTTGATACTCTGTGTTATTAATGATTGAGAATAATAGCAGTACACCTCACTCATAAATGGCCTCAGAGTTTGCACCTCATGCACTTAGGGGGTGTTTGCTCCAGCCCCACCTAAACACACACTTGATTCAGCCAACTGAGGTCTTTATGCAGTGTTTGTTATTGTTTTAGATCGCTGAAGGAGTTTTCTTACATAATCTTTATTTTATTTTTGTAGTTTCACTTTACTATGTCTCAATATTTTAGTCATATCACATTCTTTTCACATTTTCATCTTTTTTTTTCTACTGGAACATTCTTATTAATTGCAATATGCCTGTTAAAATTGTTCAGCATCTCTCATGAACTGAAAGAGAGACTGCAGTTGGCTATGTGTGTGGCTATACATTTACAGTATGTTTTTTCTTTAATCAATAAAACCTGATTTAATTTAAGACAATAGTTTATTCATTTGAATGTCAACTGGTTGAATCATTTTGATCATCTTCTTATAGACCAGGAACGCTTCTGGAACACGCCACTAGGAGGGATAAGGATAGAGATAAGGCTACCAGGGTACTCATGCGCATGTAAAATTGTTTTGTAGAAAAAGGTGTTTCATATTATAAACAGCACTCTGGCTGTGTCTAGCTCTCCTCTGGCTTTAGCAATAAAGAGAATCATCCCCTCGTTTGCACACATACACACACAGTCTTCAACATCATCAATAGTGGTTCAGTAATAGCAGACGGTATTAAGGACTGCTGATTGCGGTGTATGTCATGTTACATTTAATGTTTATTACATTCAATGCTAAGATTGCAGGTGCAGTGAGCAATCTCAGATGCCTTCAACAGTATTTAAGAAACAACATTAATTTGGCAGAAAATTGGAGTTCTGGGGAGTTTGTAACAGGAGAAAACAAAGGAAGAATTTTTTTTTTTTCATGCTGCAGAGGTGAAGGTGCTTTGGTGCGGAATTGCTTTATAAAAAGATGAATTTGATTAAACTTTCCAACAAACTTGGGTGGTATAATATTTGCTCTACAGAACTGTTTACGTCAAAGAAGTCATAATTTTACTAACCTTAAACTTCTTTCACTACTTTGTGACCTATTTGTTTCCACCAGAAAAGTTTCTGCTTCTGTTTCTACTTCCCTTTTTCATCAAATCTATAAAAAACACTTTAAATAACTATAAATGAAGCTTAAAACTTTTAGGGAAATCTATCTCCCTATATGAACACATACCCTACATGTGGCCTGTTCAGACACGGTTGCAGCAAACCTCTAGATTTACATTCGACTGTGTCATCCCTGCTTTCATCATGGCTAACTTTTCAGCGAGGCCTCCATGCTGCATTACATAACCAAAGTTAAGATGGGGTGAGTAAGGGATAAGTTTACTCACCCCTGTTATGATATTTATTATATAACTGTCACAGTCGCACCTTTATAGCTGCAAACCATAAACTCTTCTGCTCCACTTCCCAGGAGAAAGTTCCCCTGATGTTCAGTTGAGATCTCAATGTCCTAAATTACCTTTCATCGTTCACTCTGTGAGGCCTGACATATAGCAACACTCTGCAAATCAGCAGCTACAGCACCTGTCACTCTGATTTATATGACAACGACACACATATAACCACGGAGGAGTAACAATCTTCTAGTCTAGTCTTTCTCACATGTAGCTGGAGGAGCCAGGAATCGAACCACTAACCTTCTGATTAGTGGACAACCTGCTCTATTATATTATAATAATATTCTTCTTATTATTAGCTTTTTTCATGTCTTGCAGGACAAATGTTTTTGTTTTTTTAGTTGATTACATATTGCAGACACTTAATACTGATGATGGAGTTCCTCAAGGGAGTATTTTTGGCCCTATTCTATTTTCTTTATACAGCGGATTCTCCATCTTGCCAGCAATATCATGCATCAGATTTTTTAATTACCCCTGTTATGCAGATGTCCAACAATTGTATATTTCAGTTTCAGAAGACAACTCCACTGCTGATGAAATGATGGCCTGCAGTCTATTCCTTTAAACAAATGAGAACATCCTGTCCTCTGTGTCCTCAGTGGTGGCTACAGCTCTGATCCTAAGCATCTTTTTTGTTTATTTAATCTCTGATGTGTTCAGTCACTTTTGTGTCTGCGCTATTAAGCCAGGTGTTGCAAAGCCATTCAAACACTTATGAAACTGCACAAAATGACAGGGAAAAAAATGCATGGATCTATGGGTTTAAGGACGCAAATGACATCTGACAGGCTGCAGTTCTTCATGCTTGGATGATCAAGCATTACACAATGAACTGAGGAAAAATTCAATCTGAAGTGATGCTTACAATAAACCACTTTTGCTGTGCTTTTAACTTGTATAAACACCAGAAAAGGTTAATGACAAATTAATATAAATTGCAAAGACAAATTGATATATTTCCTGTTTTCTTGTATGAGGCTTTTCTTCACTTTTCCAGCGTAATTAGAGAGAAGCCACAGTATATGGATCACTCTCTGCTACAGTATGGCTGCTAAAACTTTGACTTAAAAAGCATTTCTATCACTCAAGAAACCAGCTGGAAAGAGTCATCTTTACCATGTCTTGTTAGTGGAACACTGACTAATCAGCTTGCTGTCAAATCAAGGCATTGATTTTGAGAGAAGAAGCAACACAAGTGTTTGTAACTTAACAAGAAGGCTTGAAAGGGGCTGGCAGAAGAAACACCACATTCCTCATCAACAAGGCCATCTCTCAAAACATGTGAGATACCTGAGGTGCCTGAAAATGTGTGAATTCTCATTTTCTTTTATTAATTCTTTCTTTGTAAGTGACCAACCAACATTTGCAAACAAACAATCACCTCTTCCTTCATTATCTTCATGCTTTTCCTGTCACTCTTTTGTCTCCTGAGATTGGCAACTTGTAGAATACACTGTCATTATTCCACAGAATAATCTCTGGATGAGTCCTGCTCAGAGGTGGCAGAGCATATTCAAAGGAATAAATGACAGTGGAGAGGATGACAGTGGTTGTTTAGTGGGTGATGGGTTTTCTAATCTTTCCAGAGCCCCCAACTCTGAATGTCCAATATTCAGCTCCTCTCACATCTCAGTACCATTGCATTGCATTAAGCAAACTAATTTTTCACAGGAAACTGAAAATACGCCTGTCTGCCAGGACCTTTATCTCACGAGCAGAGAATGCCATTAATGGCCCGCTCCACTCTCTGTTGTTAATCACATAGAGAGGAAATGTCTTTTTATGTGCTGAAAACCATCTCTCCTGAGGAAAGCAACAAGAGTTGTGTATTATGAACTGACATGTCAGTGTCATAATTACAAATTGCAAGCTTTCCAGTGCTGTTTTTTTCTCGTCAGTCAGTATGTGGTATTTGATCTTTTAAGCACCCAGCCACTTTATTTGCTTTCCTGAGGTTGATAGCAAAGAAACACTTAAATATCACACTAATTGTTGCCACTTACAAAAAAAAACAAATCAGCAAGATGTCAGCCATCAAACAGATCTGCACACGTCTGTAAAGTGGACATTTCTCTTTCTCTTTGTCCTTTCTTTTTATTTCTCATTGGCTAGAAAGTTTTTGATTTCTTTTTTATGTTGTATTCTCTTTATTGTAGTTTTTCTCACCATTCTTTTAATTAATTGGGATTGGTTTAATTTGTGTTAATTGTTGCGATCGCAACATTGCAAATTCATGAAGGGACCAAATTTGTATTTATTTATTAAGCTTGAAGATTCAGCAGCTTCACACAAAAACACAAACTCGTCACTGTAAGCACAAGACCCAAATTCCATACTTAAGTCACATCATAACTAAACCGTCACCATGACTCCACCTGCCAAGGAAGATCACAAGATGTGGTTGAAAGCTCTCGAAAGTGGTCAGTTGGTAAGTGGTTAGTTGAGTTTTTTTCCCCCAACAATTGTAGAAATACACCAATTAATGTTTCTTGCAGACATGAGAAGATTGATGCCAATTTCATGTTTTTTCTGTTCAATATAGAGACATTCTATCTGTTTCCCCCATTTCCAGCTTCATATTTACCGTACAGATACAAGAGTGGTATCGATCTTCTCATCTAACTCTAGGCAAGAAAGCAAATATGCATATGAAAAAAATGTGGAACTGTTCCTTTAATTGAAGCTGCATTGTTTAGCAATGATGATAGAAGGGTTAGCTTCACTGTTCAGTGTGATCATTTTACTGTCTGCTGGCAGCAAGCTCAGACAGTTGACTGATGCTGGCGTAACATTTTGATGGTGTCCAGATGTTGATTCAACACCAACTCTCATTAACACTGAAAGCCAATGTAAATAAAACAAAATCAAAATTGAGATAATGAACATAATCATCCATTGTTGGTCCTTGTATCTTCTTGTGAAATCAGGATGTGAATGTCTTCTGTTCCTGATATCAGAACAGTTTCCAAAGCTGCTCTAATGGGATTTTTTTTTTTACTATGCAGTGACACCTCTCTTGTTCTCCTTCACCAAAGCAAAGTAGCTGCTGCGAATGTTTCCTTTCTCGACAGAAAGAAGATGTAGCCAAAATGCTCCTTTTCCTGGTCTCTTTGTTGTTAGTCTGCCTGTCTTTGAATTTAAATTCTATTCAGTTCAGAAGGCTTCACTGGCAAGAGTTATGAGAAGAATCTATGATGGCAAAAACATGATTTAAAACAATGAAATCTACTAATTGAGTTATAATGTCTTTAAATAATACAGTTAATGGACTTGCAACTAAAATCAGTTTATAATAACAAAGGATGTCAGAGGGAAGCAACGCTTTGTTTTATAAGAAGTGAAAAAATTAGGCAAAATTTGATGTGTTGCCAGTGGGGATGATTTCTCTCCTCTTTGGTGACATTTAAAGACCAAGATTTCAGAAAGATTGACGTTTTAATTTTCTCCCACTAGCACCTGGAGCTTTTCTCTTTCTGTCGGCAGATGAAATTTTGGGATACTTGTCATAATGGCATGTACTGTAAGTAGACAACTCTGACTTCCTCACTCTCGCTCCTCTCATCTGATTTCTTGTTTTTTCTTTTTATGTTAAAGCAATCACAAGAGGAATCTATGTGCCGATGCTTTTCATGTGCCATACAACTGAGTGTGTCAGAAATAGGCTCGACAGAAAGGAAAGACAGGACTTAATGGCACACTTTTAGAAAAATAAAACATTTCTAATGAAGTCAGAACAGAGTGACCCTGTTACATCTTTATTTTACACCTAAACCAACACTGGTTTGAAGCAGCTGGCTTGCACATTTCAGACCGACTGTAATGTGATTACTTTAACTGATGTAAAGACAAAATGGCATCCAGCAACAGGGATGCTGGGGAGGGTCTCATCTTATGTGATGGTCTGACATTAGTGGTGTTACATAACTGTGACCGCCGGCAAAGGCTTCGCTGCCTCCTCACCCCTCCCACCACCCCTCCT